CACCCAGAATACTGCCTTAGCAAAAACATAAAAGTGGGTTTGCAAAATTGGGTATGCCTTTCCAAAACAGCGCCAGTAAGCCACCTACTCCTATCCAAACGGTTATCCCGCTTGAATTGCTGTATGTGGTGAATTTATTCTTTGAATTTCGTCACTCACCAAGCTTCCCACCATCGAACTAATTCCCTCGGTTAGCTGTTTTTATGCGTTTCTCATTTTGAATTATCCGCCTACTCCTACCAAACGACCATCCCGCTTGCGCTGTTGTATCTGGTGGTTTCTGGTTGAAATTTCTTCGCATCTCACCCAAGCTTCTTACAATAGGAACCAATTTTGTGGTTAGCTGTTTTTGTGCGTTTTCCTTTTCGAATTGTCCCCCTTTTTTCGTTTTTCAACTCGTTCGCGCTCAGCGAGCTCTCATTGTCCTAGTTTTGGGTCAAACAGCCATATTTCCAAATTGAATCGTTACCCTGAGATGACCGGGTGCCAAGCTCTATGATTGAATTGGGCAGATAATTTGTACTAAATTTTGGAAAACCAACGAATTTCATGGGTCGCTCTATTAGCAATAAGGATTGTATTAAACGCAGTAAGTAGATGTAGTTGGAAAAATGGCTTTCTAGTGTCGTTTTGTAGAAGGAGTGGATTCGCTTCCAGATCTTACCATCCGAAATTATCAGCCGAAGACAAGACGAAAGCTAGGGAAATCTCTTCTTTCTCCTGAAATATATGACCACGCCATATGTTTTGCAACATGGACCTAGAAAAATGCTTCAAATCCAGGAGGAGCTAAGACCTGCCAAAACTTTAATATCATCTCACGTAACCCAAATTACGTTCAATAGAAGTGTCTTATTGTAAAATCGAAAAGATACCTGTTTTGAAGCGAAAAAAGGGAAATCAGCAGACTTACCTCTCTGTTTTTTTTTCTGAATGATGAGGTTTGTAGCTGTTAAAATAGGTACTGATTTTGTGATGAACATTCCGCTCGTCCTTTCCTTCATCTGTTTTCCTGTCATACTGTGGATACGCCATGCACATCTTTGCAAAGTTATTTCACCCGTGCATTCCTTAAAATAGCGCCAGATTCCTTGATTTGACCTTAGCACTCTCAATGTGTTCGTTGCAGCTGATCTCGGGTAAAGCAGTGCAAGCGGAATCGTACGACTCGGTGACGATCTACTTTTCGGACATTGTCGGCTTCACCGCCCTTTCATCTCAGTCAACGCCCCTGCAGGTAGAAAACATTATTTTTGTTTTTTTTAATAATTGAAACAAATGATCTTGTTTGTCAGGTTGTCACACTTCTCAACGACTTGTACCTCGCATTCGACGGTGTTGTGGACCGCTTCAAACACCACTAATGGAATAGAATGCATGGCGCAACCTAAGAGGGATCGACCAACGTCAATTTCATCATTGGATACATCATGGGTGCAGAAGGTGCGATGAGGCGGGCTAAATTGTCACAAACCTAGCAAGAAATGCGCCTGTTTGCTGGCGTTCCAGCCCACGGTTAGACCTCGTGTCCTAACGCCTACATCGAAAATAGAGCGCCATCTCGTCCTTGATTGTGCGGTAAACTGGTGCTTACCTCAGTGTCTAGCCGCAAGTTTGTAGGACTGTTGTTGCCTTTTTTCGCACCCTTGCCACAAGCAAAAGACAAATACTAACGAAAGACAAAGATGGAAGAAGTAGCTTGAGACACTCACGTAGTCCATTGCTTTCCATTCGACTCGAGGTGTTCACCGTGTCGCCGAAGAGACAATAGCGAGGCATTTTTGAGCCGACAACACCGGCCACTACGGAGCCGGAATGCATTCCGATACGCAATTTGAGCTGATCGTTCGGTCGATGCCGTATCACGAAGTTCTTCACCTTGTGCAGCAGCGCCAAACTCATCTGTGCGATCTGCGACGCGTGGTCGTCCCTTCGCTCCGGAAGACCCGACACCACCATGTAGGCGTCACCTGAACCATATCGCTTGAGCATGAAAATTAGTCGTAACCAGCCTCAGAACTCACAAAAGTATAGCCCTTTGAAGAGTCAGCCCTCAGTGTGGGGAATTTTTATAATCCGATTATCCCCTTGCCTCGGGTTCACCCATGCGGCCCCACTACAGTCACCCCCTGAGGGATACCTCACCAGCCATACAAAAATAACTGAAACGGCTGATTCTGCACAATTTCGCCGAATTTATCCACTTTTAATGGAG